ATCAACTCACTTTGCTTCCCTCTCTTATAGATTTTAAAGGAGAATACTTATGAAAATGATAAGAGGCACTCTGAAGTTGGCACTGGTTCTGTACATCTGCGCAGCACTCAGTGGCGTTTATATCTTGTCCGCCTCGGCACGAATTACACCACATGATGGAGATGATGGCACTATGCTCATCACCATTGAAAAAGGCGACACCCTCTGGGATCTCTGCCAAGAACATCTCGAAGACCCGCTCCAGTGGCGCGAGTTGAGTAAGTACAACGACTTCACCAACCCGCACCTCATCTACCCCGGCGAAACATTGCGTATTCCGCTCGCTATGGCAAAAGATGCTCTTGATGGTGCCGAAGAAAAACTCACTATGCAGCAGGAGGGCCTTGAGGAGTTAAAGGTGGAATTAGCCGAATCCGAAGCGACGCGGGATAAACTTGAGGCAGAAATTGGTGGTCTCAATCAGAGTATGAGCAAACTCAAGGGACAACTCAAAGACCTTGAGGACAGCCTGAAATCACAAAAAGAATTAATGATGGCTGTCACAGAGTCCGGAAACGAAATCGCTTCTGGTGTCAAAAAATCTCTTGAAGCCACTAAAACCTCTATCCTTAACGACATCGCTCATCTTGACGAGCATCTCGAAGGGGTAGATACGATGCTCGAAGACCGTAAAATGAAGGCGGAAGCAACACATGCACTCATTGAGGCTATTCAAGCGGACGCGAAGATGCTTTTGACGCAGGTTGAGACCAACCAGAAGGCTATCAACGAAGTTAAGATGATGCTTGAGGATGCCAACAAGGGTATACACGAGGAACTTTCCACATCCAAGCGTGCTTTGGTGTTCTTGACTACAGTCGCAGCTGGCATCGGTTGGTTCGCTCTAAGTACCATCGGTGGACGCAGCGGCGAGTAATCCCAACGCATCACCTGTTAGGCAGGGAAGGTGTTATAGGCACCTCCCTGCTTTTTTTATACGGTTTCCTACCGTTTGTGATGGGGTTTGAACCCCACCAACGCTTTCGGTAAAAGGTCCTGGGTATATGTCATCAAATACTGCTAAATACCCGCAACCTCCCTTCACTCAGGCGATTGAACTTTATGGCGATAGAGCTGGAAGTAAAGGGACTTTTAAATTTGCCGGCTTCGCGTGGATACAGCGCACGAAGGTCATACTCGTCCAAGGGGACGCGCATAGCCTAAATAGTGCCGCTGAATGGCGATGTTTACTACGCCTAACCGCACTCGCGCATCGCCTCAAAAAGCCTATCCTTTTGTGGGATCTGCCTGTCACGCATATTGCACCGATACAACGTAGAACTTCATTAGCCTGTGCGCAAACTGTTCAGAAAACCGAATTGGAACTGCTAAGACTGCCATACCCTATCATTACCATTTTTGATGAAGTTGATAATGTTGATCATACCGCTCCTGAACTGATATGGAATGATGGGATTGTACTTGTCGCATCACCGGACGCACAATTTTCTGAACAGAAAAAGATCAAAATAGCACAGCACCCTATGGACATCGCGCCCACAATCTTGGAACTTCTGTGTCAAGCAGAGGCGGTTCCCGCCACAGAATTGATCAAAAACCGGCGAGAATCCTTACATTTCCTCGTGAAAAGTTAACCTACTCTACAATGAGGAGACGTTTCAATGTTTGAAGCGAAATTAAAACCCCGCCTTGAGACAATCCTGTCTGCTATTGCCAATAAAATGGTAGCACTCGGTATTACTGCGAATATGGTAACGCTTTTCGGATTCTTCGTGAACCTCATCGCGACCTTTTACTTCGCAACTGGGCACCTCATTACGGGTGGGATTCTTATTCTGTTTGGTGGAAGTTTTGATATGATAGACGGAGCCGTTGCGCGTGCCCAAAGGAATTTACGAGCATCTGGGGCACTCTTGGATTCTGTTATCGATCGCTACTCGGAAGGTTTTCTCTTCCTCGGAGCACTTATCTATTTTTACAGTTTGGAGAGCCTGCTGGGGATAATTTTAGCGTTTGGGGCATGGTTCGGTTCGATACTCGTCAGTTATGTGAGAGCAAGAGCCGAGGGACTCCAAGTTACCTGTAAGGTGGGACTCATGCAACGACCCGAACGCATCATCTTACTCGGGACTGGTACACTGATCCAAGGGGTGCTCTGGTACAAATTTCCGATTATCCAAAGCACTGGAATGATTCTGCTCTGTACACTCGGTATCCTTACGCTCACCTCACATATTACTGCCGTTTACCGTTTGATTTTCTCCTATCACGAATTGGAACGCTAACCTAGCCCGAGAAGCGATATAATATCTAAATTAAAGGGCTTTAGCACAAGGTTCGTCGCGAAGACAAGCACAGTTACAACGAGAACCACTTTAATCCATTTATCACCCGCTTTTACTGCCCAGTGACTGCCGAGCCAGGCACCAGTAGCGGTTCCAGTGGCTAAAGTGATCCCTAAAACCCAATTGACTTGTCCTTGACTAATAAAGATGCCAAGGGCAATAATAGTGTAGAAGAAGATGATGAACACTTTTAGCGAATTCGTGATAACCAAGTCACTGTTGTCAAGAATGCGCAATGCAGCGATAATTAGCAACCCAACTCCCGCTTGAATGAACCCGCCGTAAATCCCCACAAAAAAAAGAGCAATGCCGGTGATAACTTTGTGGTTTGTGCCACCCGGGTTAATCCTACTTTGTAACCATTCTGTTGGATTGAAAAGTGCTAAAAACAGCATACTCACCATGACCACCGCAAGAATCGGCTCAAAGACTTTATCACTCGTACGGGTTGCAAGGATTACCCCAAGCGTTGCACCTACAAGTGCAGGTAGCGTAAGCGCAATCGCATAACGAAAGTTTGAGACCCCTTTACGCCGAAAACCCAAGATCGCACTGAAGTTTTGGCAAAGGATCGCGACTCTATTCGTTCCATTGGCAACTGCTGTCACGTTGGTTACACCTTGTGTTATGGTAGTTAAGCCCGGTAGATTCAGGAGAAATATGAGGGTAGGCAAGGTGATCAGTGAACCACCAAAGGCGACTGTGTTTAGGAATCCGGCAAAAGAACCGACTCCGAAAAGCAGGACAATATACAGAAGATCAAGACCAAATATTTCAAACCCCATCCGAATTCCTTCCTTCCCGTAACATTCGGCGTGAAGTCTTACGACCATGAGGACGGTTTGTACGTCTCTGTTTAATTTTCGCAATCCCAATTAAAAAAACGGCGACAAGGTTGCCTGAAACAATGGCACTACCGAGCCCCGTAATTGCCATAAAACCGCTGACCTGAAGAATACCGTCTCCAAACGGACAGTGCCAGTGTAGGCTGAAAATAGCCACAGCAGGAATCAATAAAACCGAGGACAAAACCTATCCCTGCAGCAATGCCAGCGACATTCTGAATTTTTTTTAACGCTGGCAGTTGAACTTCAAACATCTGTACCCTTCTTTTCTATCGTTTTCGCTAAGTAAGCCCTAAGTATTTATCCCTGCCTTGCACGAGTGCCTCTATTTTCCGGTCTACCACGGAGCGTTGAAGCATCCAAAACCCACAATCCGGATGGACCCAGCCAATCCGTCCTGCGCCCAATGCTTTTTCAGCTTTTTCTATGCTGGATGCTACGTCATCAGGTGTCTCAATCGGATTAACCTTTACATCAATCACACCAATACCGAGTACAATATCTGACGTAACTGCCTTAAGTGTCTCAAGATCAGCATCAGGACGGTGTTGCAGCTCTAAAACGAGATGATCGCATCGGAGCGTATTCAAGAAGTCAATTAGAGCTTTCCAGTTGCCTTTTTGGATAACCTGGCCCCCGTAGTTGCCGAAGCAGAAATGGACCGCCTTCTCTCCCTCAAACGCGTCAAGGACAATGTTAATAGCCTCGGCAGCGCGGGGCGCGTCTTGCGGGTTCCCCGGTATATTTGCTTCGTCAATTTGGAGACAGGTACAATCGAGTTCTTGCACCTGTGCCGCTAAAACTGTCGCTAAGGCAATAAGGAGTGCGTCAAAGTCGCCGTAGTGTTTATCCAATAACGTCCGTGCGAGCATATAGGGGCTTGTTACCGTAAATTTTATATTTTTACCAGCAGTGTCCACGGCACGCTCGCAATCGGAAACGAGATTTAACGAGCCTTCCTCTAACGGTCCCTCAACAACTCCGGCAGGTTTCGCCCGAAAAGACATCGTTTGCATCTGCCGAAACTCATGCCATTCCTGTCTCCCTACTTCTGCCCTTATACCCGAAAGGGGGCGGATGAAATAGTCAATCATTCCGTTGGTATCTGGGTGGTTCGGATCGAAACGATAAAGTTCACCGTCTGTCGGCAGATCAATACCACGTTGCCGCTGAATATCCACGACAACCCGTGTTGCATCAAGAAGGGCCTGTTCCGTCGGCATTGACAGAAGCCACGTCGGTACGGGATAAGAACCGACAGTTGTGGTTAAGATTTCTGGTTTGTTTGATAGATGTTTCACCCGCACGGTACCTCAGTTGTTCATCAACTCAAAGGATTCAAGTTCAAAAACGGGTCGACTGTCAAATCACCTCGAGTCTGCGATTGTGTAAATTTGACGATACCGACATCCGGTGCAATCCACTTTTTCACGACAGTGACATCAAGTGGGAAATCTTGGTTTCCAATATCGAAACCCCATCGAAATGATTCCTGAACCTGAAAGACATGTTCAAAAGTTCCGGCTGGTACTGTCAATGTCTCTTCCGAAATCACCTCAAATTCGTCAAGTCCACCGCCAATCGGGAAAAGTTCCGGCACTAATTTAGCCTGAAAATTGGTATCCCATTTTTCACCCGGAATAAGCGGAAATTGGTATAGCGGGAGGAACGGCTCGAACAGAATTGTGTCTCCTGTCCCGGATGTGGTATTCTGCGCGTGCTGCACAACACCTGAAACCTCGCCTTTTTCGTCAAGGCGCGGTCCAAGGTAAGAATAGTTCACAATGTTCTCCAAACCCGCATCCGTACTGGATTTCTCAAGCACAAAACTCTCGATGGTCTTTCCACCTGCCTGTTGGATCTGAATGGTATCTATGATTTCAAACGTAATTTCACTACCGTTTTCATCGCGATAGTGCCAGGTGTTCCCTACAGCCAATGGATAATAATTACCGGGCCGGATCCGCCACACTTGGATATCCAGTGTGCTGGTTGTGGTGTTTTCGCCGTCGCTGACTGTAACCTCGATCTGATACTTCCGTTCGGTTTCGGGGGCACGCCAGAGCGCACCTGAGGTATTTTCTGTTAGTTCGCCACCTGTAACTGACCAAGTATATGACAAGACATCATTCTCAAGGTCACCCGCTACCAAGCGGATTGCCACCTCCGTCCCCGGGGCAACTATATCTGATTCTGCTTCAAAGGTTAAAATGCGTGGCGCGAGATTTGAGTTGCGCGGTTCGTCAACACCGCAGCCTAATCCAATCCCTATGAGTAGAAACCAAAGGATTTTCCAGGCATCGGTCATTTTTTCGACTTTCATGATATTTCCTCCACATACATGAGCCATTTCTCCAGAAAATATCTTATAAATTTCGGCAGAAGTGCCACCAGGAAATATCCTCGGTTAGACGATTGATACCTTCGTCCTTACGCTTTTTATCCATCAAGAAGTTTACCACGTAAGACCTCACGAGATTGGGTCGCGCCATTTCCTGTCACATTGTAGGCGAAGGTGTTCATCAACCGATCGTTTGCCGAATTATTCGGTGCAGAGCCGTGGATAATCAGCGCGTTGAAAAAGACACCGTCTCCTGGTTCCATTTCGAGAGCCACAGCATCTTCGCGCTCTTGGTAGTGACCAGGTAAAAATACGCCAAAGGTCTGGTGTTTTCTTTCGTGTTCTTGCAAGCCCCAATTGTGGCTTCCCGGAACAAACTGGATGCACCCGTTCTCAAGGTTCGCCTCGTTGATAGCCAACTGACAATTGATCATGACAGGTTTGTTGTTATCATTTTTCCAATAGGCGTAATCCTGGTGCCACGGGATCGCTGTTCCATCACCACCCGCTTTCGGGAGCAATTTACTGTGATATAGGGAAATGTTGTCACCCATCATTGCTTCCAATATATCTAATACATCATCGGAGCGAAGCAGACGATTGAGTGTCGGACTCACCAACTCACTATGCATTAACTGCTTGATACGCGGCGGATGATCGTCTGAATCGTAGACTTCCCACGAAATTCCAATCCCATCAGTAGGCTGTTCTGCCATACGATTGTGTATATCTTCGGTTTCTTCCTGAATTCTCGCAATATCTTCTGAAGAGACAAGCCCTTTTTTCAAGAGATAGCCGTTTGTCTTATAAAACTGTTGTTCTTCGTTCGTAAATCCCATACGATTTCTCCTTAACCCATTTAGGGTAATCACTAATACCAAATTAACTTGATTAGAAGTCTTTTGATCAAGTCAGCATTGCGAGGCACAGGGACCTCGCGCTACAAATGGGGTTAATTTGGTATAAATGGTGTGGATCTCTCCTCCTAAATGAAATTTGCATTTAAAAGTATACATCAAGGTTCCAGAAAAATCAAGGGATTTCCGTTTTAATTGTGCACTTGAACGGACACTGATAGAAAAAAGTTTACTTCCATCGCAAACGCTGCTAAAATATGAGTAGTTAAAATAGATGCGAATCCCGTGCCACAGGTGCTGCCGCGCTTAAACGCTTAAAAGAGTGGACGTAAGTCCTGAGCACACGCCACCAAAATGGAGATAAACTGATATGGACTATACACTCGAAAATTGCCAAAAACTTGTAGACGACTGGATCCACACCATCGGAATTCGGTATTTCTCAGAATTAACCAATACCGCCATCCTCATGGAAGAAGTGGGAGAGTTAGCACGGATTATGGCGCGTCAATATGGCGAACAAAGCTTCAAGGAAAACGAGAAAGATTTAGACCTTGGTGAGGAAATGGCGGATATCCTGTTTGTGCTTATCTGTCTTGCGAATCAAACAGGAGTTGAACTTGAAGATGCATTCAAAAGAAACTTGGAGAAAAAGACACGCCGAGATAAGGAACGCCACAGCGGAAACCCGAAACTTCAGAAAAACTGAGTGTCGGGTGCCTAACCGCTGAGGGAGATTAACAATGATGTTTCAGAAAAACCACACATTTTGGCTGTTAAGCCTACTTTTTCTCATCACCGGATGCACGATTTTCTCGAAAAATTCATCCCCTCCACCAATAGTTGACCCATTGGTTGAGCGCAATCGTCAGTGGCAGGAGCAGGTTGAGACAGGCAATGATGAACTAAAACAGGGGGATCTGCGCGCAGCACTCGTCGCTTACGAAGCCGCTATCGCAATCCGACCCGATGCCAGTGCAGTGCAGCACAAAATAGCGGAAATATACCTCCGACTTGAGGAATACGAAAACGCAAGGAAGGCATTTGTTGCGTTTTTGGCACTTGAACCGAACAATATCACGGCTCTAAACTATGCTGGATACATTTCTGAAAAATTAATCGACTATGCCGCCGCTGCAGGATACTATGAACGAGTCCTCGGTGTTTCAGTAGACAACCTCTATGCCTTGAACCATCTCGGTTTAGCCTACAAACAGCTTGAACGTTATGATGAAGCGGCGGAGGTCCTTCACAAAGCGTTATCGGTTGATCCGAAATGTGAACGTCCTGAAAGTGAAAATTTGCACAATTACTTGGGATTAATCTATCTGGAACAAGGCACACTCGGCGAGGCAATTGCCGAATTACGGGAATCTATTCGGTTGTTTCCGAAGGATACTTGGGCAGGAGAACAACTCGCTGCACTCTATGAAGATCAACAGCGTTACTTTGAGGCACAGCTGCAATACCAACGAGTTTTGGAAATTGATCCGGACAATCTCCTCGCCTTAACACGACTCCAAGCACTCGCGCAACTAAATCTTGGTTCGGTCCATGTCACCGATGTACCGCCTGTCACACTCCTGAATCCGGACGTTGAGCACATTATCGCAAACGCTCCAGATGCGAGCGACTATCCTGACGCTGACACGTTGGTGCTATTCAACCATTTCAGCCACGACGTTTTACCGACCGGACAGTCGCGTTACACAACACATCAAGTCGTTAAAATCTTCACCGAAAGAGGCATCCAGAGATACGGGGACATTGCGATACCTTACCAACCTGCGGCGCAAAATATCGGTGTGAACATCGCAAGAACAATCGCAGTGGACGGCACAGTCCTACAACCACCAAATGAGGCGTTTAACGACGTAACGCCGCCCGGATTATTGTCTCAAAACCTCTACTCCGACGCTATGTGGAAGGTTATCTCTATGGTTGGTCTCGCGCCGGGAGTCTGTATCGAGTATCAGGTAACGCTTGAAGATAAAGTACCAGGCGGCGAGACATGGATTACAGGAGGATACAATTTTCAAGCAACAGAGGCGACACTGGAAACCAGTTTTGTCCTTCAGATGCCGGAATCGTGGCCCATTCAATGGCAAGTTGCTAACGACCCACGTCCACAGGATCCCGATATATTACACACAGAAAATGATACCGTCATCTATATTTGGAAGTACGGCGAGACACCTGCGCTGACATTAGAAGGAGGCATGCCGCACGTTAACGACATCGTGCCACGCTTGCGCTATTCCTCGATTAAAGATTGGGACAGCGTCTACACATGGTATAAAGATCTCGCGAAAGGAAGATATACCCCGGATGCCGACATTGCGGCAAAGGTCCAGCAGCTAATCGATAATCTGATGACAGAAGATGCTAAGATACGCGCTATCTATCATTTTGTTGCTACAAATATCCGATACGTCGGTATTGAACTCGGGCAGAGTGCTTACCAACCCTCACCCGCCACCGAGGTTTTTCAAATGCAATACGGGGATTGCAAAGATAAAACCACACTTCTGATTTCAATGCTCGATTTGGCGGGTATCAAAGCCTATCCTGTCTTGCTGAGTGTCGCACCATACGAACGGGTTGATACAACACTACCATCGCTCAGCCAGTTTAACCACATGGTTACCGCAATTCCTACCAGTCCAGATACTTATATATGGTTGGATCCTACATCTACAACCTGTAGTTATGGCGATATCCCGTATAATACGCAAGGACGCACAGGGTTTCTTATCTCCGATACACACGGCGAGTTTGTGGAGACACCTGTTTACCCACCAGAATCCAATCGGCTTGTAAGCACAACAGAATTGACGTTAGACAACGACGGTAGTGTACAAGGCACTCTCTACATCCAAACAAACGGACAGTATAACCTGAATACCCGATGGGCATACCAACAGATACATCCTAATGCCCTGAAAACCACCTTAGCCACTGAACTCAGCCATCAATTTCCGGGCATCCAGGTAACGTGGTCCGACATCTCCGACCTTAACGATCTAAACGTGCCGGTGACAATCAATCTCGGTTTTCATGTTGAGAATTACGGGACGTGGGTGGGAAACGATGTGCTATTACCCTTACCGATTGATGAGTTCGCGGACTACGCTGAAACCTTTGCTAACGAACAACGCACCTATTCATTGGATTTAGGCTACCCAATGCAAATTGAAAAGGCAATCCGCATCCAGATTCCAGACGGATGGGCAGCTACACTGCCGAAGGACATTCACCACATTATAGAGAATGCGGAACTTACTCGGCAGTACAAACAGGTTGGGAATGTTATCACTTATCAACTCGTTTTTACGCTTAAAAATCGGATATTTCCAGCGGCTGCGTATTCAGCAGCAAGATCACTTTTTACGGCTCTTGCGAGCGAAGATGGAAGTCATGTGTTGTTAAAGACTGGTGACGATAATCACATGTCGCGAAAATGATGGCTGTTCGGCTTACGAAGTTACTCTTTGACATACTTCCAACCGTCAATCAAAACAGGAAGTCCGCGAATGAGACACATAGCGACAGTCACAGCAGAGAGTATTACGCCTGCTAATTCCAAACCGACGACTAATTCCGGATGGATGCCAGAATTCTTGAAAGCAATAACACCGCCAAGATAGATGAAAGCGACTGCTTTCGCAATGCCATAGATACTACGGCTTATTCGTGAACTGGTAAGGGCACGGGTCCATTTGGAAGACATCATAGAGTTCTCGCCGAAAGCAGTCTTGCCTTGTGCAAAGGCGGCACTCCGCAAACCATCTGTAAAAAAGCCACGTGCAATCACGATCACTGGGATCCAGAACGGAATCAACCCAACGACGGCGAAGTAAACCCAGAAGACGCATTCGACAATTCGGTCGCCGACGATGTCAAACAATGCCCCGAAAGCGGAAGTCTGATTGAGTTTGCGAGCAACATAACCATCAACCGCGTCAAGAAACAGGATCAAACCGATCAGTGCAACAAGCAAAATGTCTAAGTAGATGTGATGTCCAAAAAGGGAAATCACAACAAAGACGAGAATCAGGCGGAAAAGCGTAATTAAATTCGCAATCATGTTTTTACTCCTTTGCCGGATGGGATCTCCTTGCGTCATTTCTTTTTAGGTTTAGGGTCTATCTTTTAATAGTAGCATACTGGTTCGCCAAAAACAACATCAATTTTCAAACAGAAGAGGTGCTTATTCTATGAACGAAAACAGAAAACCCAATATCGTCCTCATTTTGAATGACGACATGGGCTTTTCGGACTTAGGCTGCTACGGCGGCGAAGTCCACACTCCGAATCTTGACCGGCTCGCCGCGGGTGGGCTGCGGTTTACGCAATTTTACAATACTGCACGCTGCTGCCCATCCCGTGCCTCCATGCTCACTGGGCTAAACCCCCACCAGACTGGAGTAGGGCACATGATGAGCGACGATGGGCTTGAGGGCTATCGTGGGGACCTCAATGACCGCTGTATCACTATTGCCGATGCCGTTCGATCAGAAGGCTACGGCGCGTATATGAGCGGCAAATGGCACATTTCTCGCCACACCGGTCCCGATGGGCCCAAACACAGCTGGCCCTGCCAACGCGGGTTTGACGAGTACTACGGTATTATCACGGGTGCCGCGAACTTCTGGAAACCAAATACTCTGACACGCAATAATACCCGTATTCAGCACGATGAACTTCCCTGAAGGCTATTTCTTCACAGATGCTGTCAGTGATGAAGCATCGACGTATATCCAAAATCATACTGAAAAGACACCAGAACGTCCGTTTTTCACTTATGTCGCTTACACGGCACCACATTGGCCCCTGCACGCGCACGAAGAAGACATCGCACGCTACAATGGACGTTTTGCCGCTGGGTGGGACGAACTCCGAGAAGAACGGCTCTCACGGATGCGGGAGATGAAGATTTTAGATGAGGCTTGGCAGCTCACAGCACGAGATCCCTCCCAACCTCCTTGGAGCGAGGCACAATACAAAGAGTGGAACCAACGCCGCATGGAGGTGCTACGCAGCGCAAATCACCCGGATGGATGCAGGCATTGGACGCATTATTAACACGTTGGAAGAGACTGGGCAGCTCGACAACACGCTCATCCTGTTTTTAGCCGATAATGGCGGTTGCGCGGAAGAACTCGGCGGTCCCCCCGCAATACGCGACAAAGGTTCACTCATCAGCACCGATACTACTTCTGATGGGAAACCCGTCTATCGTGGGAATGACCCAAGCATTATGCCAGGTCCCGAAACCACTTATCAGAGTTACGGCGTTCCGTGGGCAAACTTGTCCAATACACCATTTCGTGAATACAAGCATTGGGTGCACGAAGGTGGTATCTCTACCCCCGTTGATCGCGCATTGGCCAGATGCCATAAAGTCCGCAGGCGAATTACGTCATCAACCCGGGCAACTACCAGACATCATGGCAACATGCCTTGAGGTTTCGGGTGCAACTTACCCTGAAGAACACGACGGACTGTTTAACACGAGGGCGATTTTGCCGTTAGAGGGAACAAGTTTAGTGCCGGTTTTTGATGGGAAAGATAACGGTAAAGAGGTGCTTTGTTGGGAACACGAAGGCAATTGCGCAGTCCGTCAAGATAACTGGAAACTGGTCTGTCGGTTCCCCGGCGATTGGGAACTCTACGATCTGGCAGCAGAACGGACAGAAATTAACGATCTCGCTGCTAAGCATCCACAAAAACTCGAAGAACTCACCGGGCTTTACCGAGACTGGGCGGATCGCTGTCTTATCTACCCCTGGGATAAACTCCAAGAACACCGCAGACAGCGTCGCCACGAACGCTAAAAATTGTGTTGTTTGTTCGAGCAGGTATGGGACCATAAGCGTCAATTTAGGGATTTTTGGCAGCATTTTGGGAACTATGGATATAAACATGCCGCCCTTATAGGGCTGAGGCTTTGTTTGCAACTGCTTCTATAAACATGCCGTCCCTACGGGACTAAAGAGGGTGTTGAAAATACAAAGTTTTTGGCTAAGTTCCGGTGCGGTTGGGAAACCGCACCTACCGGGCGAGGGCATTCAGCGCGTAAATTATTCTTATAGTAAAACCCACAATTAACTTTACATTGGCGAGGTTAGGAATGCAGATCGCAAATGTAAAGCAAAGACAAATTTTGCCGCGTGTGGGCAAAATTTGGGTGCGTACACCGCAAAACCTCGCCAGCGAGCGAGTGTATTCGCGGAATTGTTGCTCTTTAAAGTGTAAACATATTTTCGGGTTTTACTATAAATTGACACCTATGGTTCGAGCAGGTATGGGACCTGCCCGAACCACACTCGGCTGTTCAGGTGGGCTCTGTGCCCACCTGTCCCTGTAAACTAACTACACGCCAACATCTTCAAACAGACAGGTGTCGGCACCTCTGCTACGTCCCCTGTCGCATTCAACTCGCCAGTTTCAGTGTCAATAGCGAACGTAACAACTGTATCCGTTTGTTGGTTGGCTGCAAATAGGAACGTACCCTCCGGATTCAGTCCAAAGTTACGAGGTGCCTGTCCTTGTGTAGATTCAAAGCCGATGGGACTCAGCATCCCCGTTTCTGCATCAATCGCGCAAATTGCAATGCTATCATGTCCACGGTTCGACCCGTACAGGAATTTTCCAGAAGGGTGGACGTGGATATCGGCGCAATGACTGGTGCCATCGAAATCATCAGGGAGTGTGGAAATTGTCTGGAATTCGGTGAGTGTTCCCGCTTTCGCATCGTACCGAAAAGCGGTGAAGGTAGAATCTATCTCGTTAATCACATAAGCGTACTTTCCATTCGGATGGAAGTCAAAGTGCCGAGGTCCCGCACCGGGCTGCACGCGTGCCCAGGGTTGCGTGTTAGGTGTGAGCGTTCCGTTTTTCGCATCCAACTCGTAAGTGAGCACTTTATCAAGTCCGAGATCGGGTGAAAAAGCGTAGCGATTGCCCGGATCAATCATAATTGAGTGTGCGTGAGGTTCCATCTGCCGTTGTGGGTTGACACTGGATCCCTGATGCTGCACGAAATCGGAGGCTTCACCGAGTCTACCATCCGACCCTATTGGGAAAGCAGTAACGCTGCCACCGCCGTAATTCGCCACGAGCAGACATTTACCGGTCGAATCCACGCTCAGATGACACGGGGCACCACCACCGGTTGCGCGTTGGTTGAGATAACTAATCTCTCCTGTCTCTTTATGAATGTAAAATGCCGTAACCGCGCCGCTGGCTTTGCCCTCAAACTCACTAAGCTCGTTGACAGCGAAGAGATACTGTCCACTCGGGTGTATCTCCAAAAACGATGGGTTTTCAACGCCTGTTATTTTGCTGCTATATTCCAATGCACCCGTTGCACCATCTAAACGGTAGACGTAAATCCCTTCGCTGTTTCCGTGTGTGTAGGTGCCGACGTAAACGAAATAGTCTTGGCTGTTCTGTTGTGCCATTATTGGTAGTCTCCTTATGAAACTGTGAAATGAATCGCTTTCTCTTCACTTTCACGATAGCCGATGCGGATCGCTTTTGCGCGCACGGTGGTTTCGCCTTCCGGTAGACGCAGCGGGTCGGTATACAACCGCCAATGTGCATCATCTCCGTGCTCTGTTGTGTAGGCAATAGATGCACCCTGTGTGGAGCAGTGAAGTTGTAAAACAAGAGGAGCCGCCCACTCACCATCTTCGTGTGCCACCTCTGTACCGGGTTTTTCGGCGTTAATCGGAATGAAAATTGGAGCTGCCGTTTGCTGGTTGCGTGCCATCTGGATACCACGTGGCAACCATTGCTCTTCGGGTATATCCCCATATCGCCGAATTCGGATTGCCACTGTGCCAGCGCACCACGCATCCGTTGCAGTACATCGTGATGTCCAGCGTCTTCTGCCAAATTGTTGAGCTCGTACCTATCGTTTTCGGTATCGTAGAGTTCTTCAGCCGGCGCGCTGAAACGTGAACAGAACGCCTGATCTCCCTCCAATTCGCACCTGCTGAAGTACAACGCCACATCTCCTGCATAATCGGCGGTGCCGATCGATACGGATCCAGATGCAGATACGGCTTTCGGGTATAATAATTCTGATGTACTTTATTACCGCTTATCACGCACAGCGCGCACCATATCGTAAGATTCATCGTACCGAGTCGTCCGCGTGTCTGCAAGATATAGTCCGTCGTTCTACTGTCTCCGCGAGGCACGCGTGCTCCTGTAGATGTTCAGGTGCTTGCACACCACAGAGTGATAGCACCGTTGGACCAAGATCAATCAAACTTACCAATTGTGCGCTGGTACTACCCGGGCTCAACGTGCCCACCAGCGGACAATCAACGGTATGCGGATGCCAGCATCATAGGGCCACCGTTTTCCGCGCGGGAGTCCTTCACCGTGGTCACTCCAGAGAATGACGATGGTATTCTCAGCAAGCCCGTCTTCTTCGAGTTGATCTAATAACTCACCGACGCGCGCATCGGCAGTCGCAAGGTTATCGTATTGGCGCGCCAACGCCTGCCGCGCTTTCGGTGTATCCGGTAGGTAAGGCGGTAACTGCACATCATCGGGGTTCGTGGTCGTCGTCAATGGACGATCTTCCCGTTCCCACATACCGCTTTCATGCGTAACAGGCGGGTTGAAAACCGAAAAGAAGGGTTGTCCTGCATCGCGGTTTCGCCAATGTGCGGTGTTGTTACATTCATCCCATGCCGTGATTGGCGGCGTAAACTGATAATCGGTTTTGCTGTTGGTCGTGCAGTAATAGCCTGCGCCTCTGAGGTATTCCGTGAAGGTCTTGACATAAGGCGGCGGTACAGCGGAATACGGTGTCGGCATGTCAGGTGTGTTTTGGTTCGTGTGCGCTGTTCGCATGTGGTGCGTACCGATGGAGGTCTGGTACATACCGGTAATGACTGCAGAACGGCTCGGGGCACAGACCCCGGCAGTCGAGAACGCATTCGGAAACCGACACCGCCTGCGGCGAGCCGGTCAATATTCGGCGTACGGCGCGAGCATATCTCCATAACAACCGAAACGCGGTGTTGTATCCTCTAACGAGATCCAAAGGATGTTTGGACGGTCTGATGTGTTCATTACAACTCCCTATTTTGATAACGATTGTACCCCAAACGACGGTTTAAGTCAATAGGGTTGCAAAGAACTGTGGTGAGTTATAGGAGCGGTAATCCACGAAGACAGCAAGTTCTTGTTATTGGAACGAGTTCCATTCCATCCGAAATTGAGGTCACAGAATTGAGAATCTTTACGAGTTCCAACATCCTTCTGTATACGCCTGACGATCAAATAGCTTCTGGCGGAACGGTGTTGCGCACGCTATCCATTCCTCAGGGATCTCCTGCGTGTAACGATGCGGCGGTCCCGCCTCCTTGAAGATTTGTTGTCAATGTGGACAAATACGATCGTAGGGCCTGCGTGAGTGAATCTTCTGCTTCGCTTCACTCCATGGCAGATGCGCGCGTCAATGTAGACCATGCTACACTGGTGGTAAGTCAAGCCGTTTCTCTCTCCATCTTGCGTCCAGGCTTCGTTGTCTATGTCACCTGCAAGCATCCGTGTCCGGGGTCCAGCTCTCTCGTCGGTGCTACCTTATGGCTACCGGAGGCAGATTGAGGTCCGATCGCCCACGTGTGAAGCACGTTCGGTAGTACAGGATCTGGATTTCTTTCTGTAGTTTGTAGTAGTCATCTCG